GTGTCTTTGGAGTCACCTAGCAAAGAAGTAATAGTAACAGTACCAACAAAAGACCAGCCACACTGAATTCTTTGTTTGATGGGATTTCATTAATCACAAGCTTAGCARCTGTCAACTTAGTGTGCATCTCGTCCTCCTCCCCTTTCGCTTCCTCACATCATCTGATGAATCAACGACATTACCATCAACCGAACTTTCGGCATCCACACTGCTAGTAGCCCATGTTTCTCGGACCCGCCTCCCCTCTCCACTCACTCTGGCGGGTCGAGAATGCCGGATACCACTAGGAAAAACAAAAGCAGGTATATTTTTGGAGCGACAGATGACGATGGAAGCTTAAACCATATGAGACGGAAGAGAAGCAAATGAGATGGACTGATATATATATATATATATATATATATATATATGAGACTGTAAGGATATGAGAAGAAATAGGAGCGATGGATTAAATCGTCATCTTGGGGAGATCGATCTGAATCATCGTCTTGGGAAGGTAAAAGCAATGGGGGATGTATTGTTGGATCGCTTCCACCACTATTAACACTCATCTGTCATACATCAAATACAATTATGTTATGGTTCAGATGTTTCTTTTTAAGAGATAACTAATCTGTTTAACCTTAAAAAGTCAAAAATTTTCAATGGAAAAGTGTAATACTTGACTCCTTTTTGTAAATTTAACRATTCCCTGTCCGGAATTCAAATCAACTGATAAAAAATAAAAAGTTAATTATAAGCAAAAGATGTTAGTCCGAAATTCAAAATCAAATGAGTACTTCAAAAATGTTGAAACCGAAGAAACATCATARTACTGCTTCAATTTATAATACTATGTTCAAGATAAAACWACAGAACTAAATCACTTACCTCAAAATACTGGTTCCGAAAGTATGAAGTATGGAGGGGTACTTGAATAATAGCTCCTTAATGAATCCCATAAAATTGYTACAACCAACAWWCATCAAGTTCAAACAAAACCAGTAGGGATAACTATGGGAAAACTAACATTGTTATCAACATTTTGTATATATAAAAAAGTTATATACCACCAATTTTCATACAAAAACAATATGCCAGATACCTCATTCATCATCTCAAATATGAGGTATAAGATCATATCTCATTGAAGAATCTACTGGAAAGTCAAAGACAAGAATAATCAACAGGGAGTGGAGATTCACAAGAACTCCCAACAAATACTTTGCTTTGGGGGAGATAAAACAGAAAGTTACAACTTTGACATCTCAATTGAAAAAGAGGCAATTGCCATCATCAAGCAACTATTTTAACTACAACATCTTCATCGCCTAGATCATCATAGACAAATAGACCAAATTTAGTTATTGACATAACAAGGTTGATTGATTAAAGAGAACTTTGAGCAGCAATAGAAGGTTTATTAACCTAATTAGTCCAGCCAGCATTAGTGTCAAACAAGGGACCCAAGGTCATTTTTTGATTAAGATTCACGACTATAAGAACTCTATTTTTTGTTATTGAACGTTGGATGCTGATGAAGAGGATGTTGACTTCCTCCATCTTCATTTATTTTGTTTATTTATCGATTCTGGTACAAAATCACCGTCTCTTTTAAGAATTGTTGAAATTGTTGTCCTCTAGACGAAAGGTTATACCATTTCATTAACAAGGTAATTTTTAAGACTTCTCTCAAATAATCATTTCTATACAAAAGCTAAACTCCTGATGGGAAATTAATATACCTTTGAGCTTTATAATCTTAAATTACGTCAAGAAGCATGTCATAATATTTTCCTCTCTGGTTGAGTTTTTGTGCGCTACTTCCACTTCCTGCTCCTCCCCCTGCTACCTCGCCTACTCCATCTCCCGAGACGTGGGATTGGCCACATCTTCAACATGAAAAAAAGACGATAAGTGAATGCTTCACAAAATGAACATCAATTATAATATTGGGGTTCTTAATTCCCAGGGTTCCAAAATCCTTTCACCCATGCCATCATAGACAGGTAAAGTAGGGATAAATAATAATCTTCTGCTCTGCTAGCATTCTAAAAAATAGATATCATACCACCACCCCCAACCACCAAAAACCCTAAAAAAAAGCTAAGAAACATATCCTAATGCTATGTAGAATCGAAATAGAAGAAATTAGGGTTACATGAAACATTACCTGAAATGTTGGACCTCTGATTCTACATCACTCATAAGAAATTTAGGGTTACATGCTTGATATCCAAATCAGATCAAAATCGATGAAAGTGCACCTCATATGAGCGATGTAGAATCGAACAAGGTAGAATCGAACAAGGAGAAAATAGAGATGAAAGTCATGAAACCTTACTTGATATGAGCGATAGTATTATAACTGTATGGGGAAGATAGATTTGAATCATGAATCATTACACTGAGAGCTTGAACCGTCGTCTAGAGAAGATAGATTTGTGAATCGTCTTCTTGGACGTGGTAACGTATGATAAGGAAACGTGCAGCCAGTATTGGGAAGGAGAATGTTGGGTGAAGAGAACGTATGATAAGGAGCCGGTCTTGGGAAGAAGAAAATTGGGTGAAAGTGTTGAGAGGTTGTACTTTACGTTTCTCATATTGTATTTAAGATAATTTTAAAATTAATGCTTAGAAGGGTTGTACTTGAAGCTTTATTGGTTGTTTTTAAGAGTAGTATAGAAGATAAGGGTATTTTAGGTATTTATAATTTTAAGACTTTAAGACTTTGAATGAATCTGTTTAATAAGATAATATAGATAATAAAAATCTTATCTGGTAAACATTCATAGAATAAATTATTATATTATATGTATTTTTATTAGACTGAAATCTTACCGCGTGTTAAAAGGGTAAGAAGGTGAAGAAACACGATAATCTTCCTTCCAACAGGGGGATATTCGCAAGATACTCCAAAGTACAAAAACAACCCTGCCCTTCTTCCCCATTAAGCCGCCTGTCGAAACGAACCCATACGACAAAGCGGCGCCTCTGGACCTTTCGGTGCGGCGCTCAATATCTTGCATCGGCGGCGATGGGAGTACCGGCGTTTTACCGCTGGCTAGCGGAGAAGTACCCAATGGTCGTTGTAGATGTTATCGAGGAAGAGCCGGTGGAAATCGACGGCATTAAAATTCCTGTGGATACAAGTAAACCTAACCCTAATCAAATTGAGTATGACAACCTGTATCTCGATATGAACGGAATAATTCATCCCTGTTTTCACCCCGAAGACCGGGTACCCATCCGCTCCTTTTTCTCTCTCTATATATCTTCATCTATCTATCTATCTATCTATCTATCTTGAGAATAATTTGTTTGTGTTGTTATACGTCAAGTGGTTCCTGTGCTTCTCATTGCTATTTTCTTGCAATGCGTTAAATAGAGATATGAAATTTGTCGAGAGCTCATAGGATTGAAGGGAGTTGACCTCGATTTTCAATTTATACTCTGCATGTAAGCACTTGTTAATAGCCATAATAAATGTTTTAATTTACAAGGAACATTATACAAGAAAATTTCTCTTATAATCATTTCATTTGGTTAAAGCTGGAATCAGATTTTGTATCAATTCTATGTTGTGGTTGGGATGTGTTCTTTTCGAAGTTTGAAGGAGGGGGTTATTGTTAGGTTTCCAAGCGAAGCTTCAATTTTCATCTAGACTAGTCCTTGTTGTGAAGAACTGGATTTAAATAACAAGGGCAGGGTTAAAACATGCAGCAAACCAGCAGAGCCCCACTCGGACTCGATTGAATGCTGCCATAGTTGCAGTAGGATGCTTTTAGCAGATCTCCAACCCTGAACGCTTCTCTTCCAGATCCTTTGCATATTGCTTCACAAGTTTTTACATGCTTATACAATTCACATCCTAACTTATCAAATTATTTCACTATCTTATTCAAAAGGGCAAATAACATGTTAAAGGGTAGAAAAGTCAATGTAGTTCAGTAAGTTGTGCAACTAAAATTCTTTAGTTGATTAATCTATTCAACTATTTATATTCTTCTTGAATAAATCTTTCTAACTTGTTCGTACAAAGGTGATATAACACGTGTAAACAAGAAGAACCAATCCCACTTCCTTTTTTTTTTCAATCATTTCCAGTTCCAGGATGGAAAAATGGGATTTCTTTTATAACGATCACTGATTTCACTCATCTACTTCATGGGTTTGGTCTTTCAATCCCACTGAGGGAAACCCACATACTAAAGATTGTCCACGACAAAGACACTTTACTTTTCCATCGATATTTAAGTCACGGAACTCCATTGCTTTTTATAGACCTTTCCTCTAATTTCATCTCACATTAAACCATCGTTAATAAGGTTGATGAACCATACAAGTACACCAAATACATAATGTGTAGTCAGTAATGACTTCTTTTAGAAATAAAAACCAACGATTAGGTGGTGGGTTAGGATCAATCATGACATGTTAGAATCTCTTTTTCTAGACCGGTAAAGGGATAATAAGCTCTTCATTGAGGATGATGTTAAGCATGCAAGAGCAAATGACTACTCTACAAGAGTAGTAGATGGGTTTTGGTTAACCATTTTCTTGGAAGGTGTTTTGTGTTTTTTACTCCGTGTGAAGCACGAGTTGTTGCCAAAGAATAATATTAGACATATGTTGTGGATGATGAGAGAATCAATTTGATGGTTACTTGAGTGTTCAACTGATACTCATCTTTGGCATTCCTTGGTATTTCAGAGGACTACTATGAGGAAAATTGCAGAGGTCCTATGCTGTTACAACGGTCAAAATATGAACTCGGGTTCAGGACCGTGATTTGAAATAACGATTATTGCAATGGTAAAGCGGTGGTATAGCGGTCCAAAAATAGTGGTTCATATAATAATTAGAACTATATATATGCATACATCACGCAATATATTTTATGTATTCAATAAAAAGTATATAAGAATGATGATGCCTAAGTCCAAATAGAAATAATTGAACAATGTGAATACATTTATCCAAATCAAGAGGTCAAAGTGATGGTGTCCAAATAATAATAAAAAAATAATGGTGTCGAAGTTAAAATAAAAATAAAAATAAAAATAATGGTGTCCTAGTCCAAAAAATAAGAATAATGAAGCCTTGATATCGTTGGACTAAAACAAAACCGAATACAAGTCCTAAATAGAAGGCCACAAAATTATTTTTTTAACACCAAAACTACCTATCTACAAATAGCGGTTATGCGGCTGCTTTTTTGCATTCAAAATGTGGTCATTTAGCAATCAATAGCACCGCTAATAGCGGGACTGCTATTTCAGACCGCTATTTGTCCCATGACCGTTAACCGCGATAGCACCGCTAGAGCGGTGTGATTAACAGCATAGCAGAGGTCTCAAAGGTGTGTCCATTAAGGAGTGCCATATATAGCCTTAATCAGACACCTATTGTCTCTTTCTCATTTATTCCAAGAGGTTTGCATTGGAGAAGTTGTTTTTCAACGTTGATCGTATGAAAGGCCTAGGTTATCTAGAGATGTTCTCTATGAACTTGACCTGTCATAGGGTCTTAGTAAAGATTTTGTTAATCGAATTTGATGTGTAAATTGGTGATTGGGTGATTCGTTATGTTCAAGGGGAAGTACTAAGGAAGTAAGGATGTTTGAGGATTGTTTGGGAAAATAAATTATTTCACCATTACCATATTGCTTTAGAAGTTAGTGTGGTGACACTTTCCCTTACTATAGGTCTTGGGATGATTTTGCTCTATCTTGATTGTGTTCTATTAGTCACGATTGCAGTATGTGGTTGCGGCTGATGCATTTTTTCTTGCTTTAGTTCTTAGGCTTTGGACAATGAATGGTTGATACAACTTGGATTGATGTAATTGTGTGTGTTAAATCTTTTTGCTGAGGGATGAATTGATGTCAGCTATACATTTTCTGCTGTGAATTGTGATATTATTTATTTTGTATACTTGGTCATAATGTGACAAGTATAGGATTACATGGTCTTTTGTAAGTAGTGTGTGGTGTGTCTAGTTTCAATGAACTATGGAGCTAGGACTTAGAGAATCTTTGCTTCTTGGTGCCGGTTGTGTCTTAAATAACTTTCTTTAACATATGTGAAAGTGAAACCGTGTCAATCAATCTGCAAAATGCTAACTTAAGGAGGGTTTTCACTGATTCTTAATGCAAGCATGCAAGTGCTAGCAAATAAACCAAACCAATCCCTGTAAGTCCACCAGAGGAGAGGTGGGGTCTTGGGGGTGAGCATACGCGAACCCGACCTCTACCTCGAAGAGTGGAGCGGCTGTTTTTGTGAAGACCCCCATTCATGCAAAAAGGTATAACTTGCTTGAAAACTGTACGAAAAAAGAACATAAGAAGAACCTGAAAATACGAAAGGCAAGACAACAAAAATGAGTTAGAAGTAAGCAATAGCGATCAAGACAAATAGACAACCAACAAACAAAAATGTACAAGAAAACATAGCGGAGGTAGGAAAAAAATACATACCCAGTCTTACGTAGGACACGGAAGATCCAACCTTTAGCTCCCTAATCCACCTACAATCCTCTATCCCTCCAAAATTCTTTCTTCCATCTAAGGTAAATCCAAATTCTCACCCCTAGTCTTCTATGGTTATCTTGCGTCTCCAAGAATTCCTATAAGAGGTCATGTCTTCGGAAATACTTAAAGTCGCCATGTCTAAGAGCATCTTCTATTGCCCAACAAATCATTGAATTTGCTGGTAACATGACTTCAAAGCTCTGGAGATTTTGCCGGTCACCCAATGTGCACGACAATAATGGCATGTGAAATATCAAATGGCAAACCACATGACCCACCACTAAACGTATAAAAAGATAAATTTAATTATCCAATGTATATATACAAATTCAATTTTTAATAATTATCATTTTATTAAAAAATTGTTTTCTAATATTCAATTTTTAAATACAATAAATTCTTTGAATCAATGTAATTTTTTAATGTAAAATTTATTTAAATTAAGGGTATGGTGTTTTTAGTTTAATGAGTTTTTATCATATAAAATATTTTATAAATCAATAATAATACATATTCCTATAATGCCTATTCACAAATTATAATTATCGTATTTAAAAAATGGTTTAATGATAAATAAAACATGTTATTTTAGTATGGGACCTACAAATATGGTGTTTTTTATGGAGTGTGGTTGGAGTTGAATTTTTTTATTGGTGTCAATGGCCCACCATTTTGGTGTGAAGGTTGGAGATGCTCTAAGTAACTTTATAACGCGATAGTTGCCACAATGTTGTGAATCGCTTTTTTTTTTCTTTTAAAGTGACACCACCACACTAAGCCTCCACTTCTCAGGCATCTTAGGTGACTAGGGATGGTATGGGGTTGCATATAGGTGACTAGGGATGAGCTTTTTGATTTGGAAAAGTTGATAAAGCCAGTGAATGGTTGCTTGATATATGAACTACCCAGGATCCATAGGAAGCTTGAGGTGGGGGTCTCTTGGTTTTTAGGTTATAACTAAAAACCTTCCAAGGATAGGCTAGAGCCGCAAGTGGGAAGCTAAAGATGGCAAAGTGGTATGTGAGAGATCTGTATTCAGCTTTAATGTCGGTAATTAAAACCATAAATTGAGAGTCAATCTGAAAACCTCTCTTAGGTTTTAATGCTTCAATAACTACGAAAAGTAAGCGTACCTACGTCTATAAAATTGGCCTTATATACGTGTGGGGGGCTTTGAGCATCCTATCTGGTAAATTCATAATTAGAGGCTAATATACAGAGAACCTGAATCTGACCTATGATAATGTACTCCAGGCAGTTTTTTGAAGAACATAGTTCATCTTCTCATTGATAAGATATATGTCTTAGAATGATCTGTAACACTATCTAAGATATATTGTTAAGTTTTTTTTACTAGCAAGTTACCTCATCTATTATTCTTTTTTGTGTTTTTTCTGAATTGTTGCATTTGTCTTAAAGTTCTTATTCACATCATTTCAGTTGATGTTATTCTTATAATCTTTACGATGAAAACTGCTCAATTTGACTTCTTTTTTAATGCATGCAGCCTTCTCCAACTTCTTTTAATGAGGTGTTTCAATGCATGTTTGACTACATAGATCGGCTTTTTGTGATGGTGCGGCCACGAAAACTTCTGTATATGGCTATTGGTGGGTAGTAAGCCTGATTTTTTTGTAATACTATCTAAAATTGATATATAATGGTGTGCTTTGCAATTCATAAAGTGTCTATAAATGTGGTGTAGATGGTGTTGCCCCAAGGGCAAAAATGAATCAGCAGCGCTCTAGGCGGTTTAGAGCAGCCAAAGATGCAGCAGATGCGGTATGCATGTCTTCCATGTTAGCCGTGCAGGGTTTTTTAACTTTCGAATTTGCTTGTATTGAACTTTGTGACTTTTACTTTCTAGGCAGCTGAGGAGGAGAGGCTGAGGGAGGAGTTTGAGAGGGAAGGCAGAAAGCTTCCTCCCAAACAAGAATCCCAAACTTTTGACTCCAATGTCATCACCCCTGGGACTGAATTTATGGCAGTTCTGTCAGTTGCTCTGCAGTACTATGTTCACCAAAGATTAAACAATGATCCTGGATGGAAACCCATAAAGGTAATTTATGACTCTAAAGATTTCATCGAGATCCTTCTGACCATGGTTTATTAAAGAAGTATTTATATGTGAGAATATGTGGAACCCCATTAGATTACTCTCCAAAAGGGTCCTTGAGGAGAGAAGGGAGGTTCCAACATATATTGAGGAGAAATGGTTTAAGCCTAGCCGATGTGGGACTCCAACACGCAGACACAAATTGTCCCATCGTATCCAGAGGGGGCTTGATGGGCACAAATTGTCTTAGGGTGTCGAGTCCCTAGAGTTGTAGACCTTGGCTTTGAAACCATGTGGGAATATGTGGAACCCCGTTAGATTACTCTCCAGAAGAGGTCTTGAGGGGAGAAGGGAGGTTTCAACGTATATCGTGGAGAAATGGTTCAAGTCTAACCGATGTGGGACTCCAACGGAGTACTATTTAGGTTGCATCTACATTATCATCCTTAAATTTACTGTGGATTGGTCAAGGAATATGTATTACACAAGAAAACTTCTTTAACATTTCATGGTGGTTCATATTTGTGAAGGTTATCCTTTCTGATGCTAATGTTCCTGGTGAGGGGGAACATAAGATAATGTCGTATATTCGTCTTCAAAGGAATCTTTCTGGTTTTGATCCAAACACCCGCCATTGCTTATACGGTTTGGTATTGTTCATCCTTTTCAATTCACTTCCATTTTTAATTTGCTTTTCTTTCTTAAGTTATATTTATTTATGCTTGCATTGTGTTTGTTATTGTTTCAACTTACAGGATGCAGATCTGATCATGTTGGCTTTGGCGACCCATGAAGTTCATTTTTCAATACTTAGAGAGGTAAACCTCCAGAAACCTGAGTAAAACCTAACAGGGGAAGGGGGTATGTAGTATTTTGTCTTCCAGAAGGAAAAAGGGAGTTAATTGGTTATGGCAGAACGAATAGCATAGTGGTGAACTGCTATACCATCGCTTTACCATCGCGATAACTGCTGTATCAAATGACTGTTCCGACCGCTAGTTTAGATTTTGACCTCTGTAAAAACATTGGTCATGTCATAAATGGACAAATTTTTTTGGTGGTAATCAAAGTAGAGTTAGAACCACACTTTATGAAATTTTAGTACAATGAAGGTACATCTAGTGTACTGAAAATGAATAACCATATGTGCTATGGCTGGTTTTGTTTTGTGGTGAATTTTAAATTCATTGATAAAATGTCTATGTAGACGTTGTTTTAGTTCCTTCATTCAGTAGTTGAAATCGGCATGTAACATGTGGCAGTTCAATTTAGTCAATAAGACATCATAATGGTTCAATATTACTGTCTAAATAAACACCGAACATGTATGTTTTTTCACTGTGATTTTCAGGTCGTATTTACTCCTGGACAACAAGACAAGTGCTTTATCTGTGGTCAAATGGGTCACTTAGCAGCAACTTGTGAAGGAAAGGTGAAGAGGAAGGCAGGGGAATTTGATGAAAAAGGAGGTGCTGATATTGTGCCTAAGAAGCCATACCAGGTAGCTGTAGAGCAAACTCATGCGATTATTTATTTATTTTCATTTATTGAAGGATGTTCATTTCATTGATAGTGTTGTCATATTCTTTACCAATATGCATATGTTTTGTTGTGGTATTGTTTACTAATATGCGCATGCTTTGCAGTTCCTCAACATTTGGACTCTTAGAGAGTACCTGGAATATGAGATGAGAATTCCTAATCTTCCTTTCAAGATCGATTTTGAGCGAATAGTTGATGATTTTATCTTCATGTGTTTCTTTGTTGGGAACGACTTTCTACCACATATGCCCACATTGGAAATACGTGAGGTACATTTGGAACTTCTTTTCAAGTGATATGTGGGGCATTAAGTTTGCTGTTCTATTTTACCAGTAATGATTAATAGCTGTTCATCATATTTTCATTGCTAACTGATATTTAAATATTCATGGTTATTGATATGTCTGATCGCTTACTGTATCAAAACATAGCAAAATATCTGATACTTTTCACAAACTCCAACAAGATATTTCAAAATACAATCCGATCAGGAAGCTTAAAACTACAAATTCAGGAGCAGTTGCTTCTATCCAGCATGGGGTTACTGGGTTTATGCTATATTAGAAAGCAATTGTTACACTTAGAAGCAACAGCTCAAACATATTTATAGCATCTTACAATAGGAGAATTCATTTGGAAATGACTTGTCTAGTATTTTCTGAAACTATAGACAACTTATGAAAATAACCAAACCAAGTGAACTAGGTATGTATCCTAGAGCTTCTTGTATGTGTACAGGGCGATATCATTAATGATTAATTATACAAGTGACTGCAGAATATTGGTTGTGTTGCTTGACAATCTGAGTGATGAAGAATTTTAACGGAGCAAATGCTTTTTTGTCCAGAAGAAATATGTAAATCAAATTAAAGAAAGCTGGTCTAACAAAATAATAAGCCCAAATATATAAATCCTCAAAATTATTGGGTGTTGAAGAACTAGTCTGGACCTGGCATAGCCACATAGGCTCCTAATATGTGGTCAGACATCATGCTCAAGGTTTTAGCCTTACAGGTAGTGCCCTAGAGGTGGTAATATTTGTGTTATTATATGTCCAATACTTGAAGACATCAAAGATGTTGGCTTATAGGCACGGTTAGTAAGATGGGTACATTTGCACATTGTATTTAAGTGTCTGAACAACTTGAGTGATTCTATGAAGGGTATGCTCTTTATTCATGAAATTGCAATGTATATGAGGATTGCAGCATTTGTGTACACTGTTGGTGGTAGACATGTTGATTCTTAGAGATGTCATAGTACTGCAATCCAAATGAATCATCGTCTTTGTGCAATCCAATTCATTGTTCTGAGCTCTTTCGTCATTGTAGTGTGTGATCTTAAGTTTAATGTTCTAGATGGATTCATTAACTGTGTCTTGGGAGCTATTGCCTTCTATAGCTCTATGTTATTGTAGCTTCCATTTAAGGGTGCTTAATGTTTATGTGCTGCAAAAAAGACTTTTTTACTTATTTCTATTCTCTGCTTTTCAGGGTGCAATTAATTTACTTTTAGCCGTATATAAAAAGGAGTTTAGGGCCCTTAATGGGTATCTGACTGATGGAAGCAAGGTGACTATCTTTTGTTATATATCTAGGTGGTTTTTGGCTTGGAGGTTTTACCTCTTAGGCATTGAAGTATTTGGGGACTCTAACTGTTTTTTATTTAATTTTCTTATTCACTCCCAGCCAGACCTTAGCAGAGTGGAGCAATTCATTCAGGCTGTGGGATCATACGAAGATAAAATATTTCAGAAAAGGGCCCGTTTGCATCAGGTTAATATGTGTGTGTATTTGAAGTGTTCGTTCAGCTGCTGTACTTGGTCTCGCTATATATCATGATTTTTGAATGAGAGAACGCCGTGGCTTAAATATCAGAAATACATAATAAAAGAAATCTGTCTTTGGAGGCAATGTTCATGGGAAGCCAGTTACATATGTTGTCATGCGATGATTAATTAGTAAACTGTGCATACCAAATGCTTATTGCATGATGAAATTCCCTGCTCAATAATTTTGATATGGGTGCATCCCCATGCATCCTCCTATTTGAAGTGTCCACATAGACCTGAAAGGATATTTTTTCCTATCTACAAAAACCACTTTTATGGAAGCCTTTTAACTTTATAGCTGCATGCTAGCTGTATTTTCTATTTGTAAAGTTAAACCATATTAATGTCTTTTTTCTTGCCCAGAGACAAGCTGAAAGGATAAAACGTGATAAAGCTCAAGCCAAATCTCAAGCAACAAGAGGAGATGATGCTGAACCACAAATGGAACCTGAATCACTTGTTCCAGTTGGCCGGTTTCAGGGATCACGTCTTGCTTCTGGTCCTTCACCATCACCATATGAACCTAAGGGATTCCATGGTAATCAAAGCCATCCCCGACCACAAAAATTGGCACGCTTGTCTTCCGGTTCAACCGTTGGTGCTGCCATTGTTGAAGCTGAAAGCAGTCTTGAAAGAGATGTATGTTTACCTTCCTTGAGGATTAACATTATTCAAAGTACAATGGTGATGTTGTAGGTCTAATATCCGTGCACTAACCTTTTTGTGGAGCTGGTGGGAAGCAGACATCAAAATACAAGTTCATCTAGTTCTTCTTCTATTGAGTTACTGGATCATGTTTTTTGGTTTTATAATATTTCTTCTTCGCTTATGGGGCACATGAACTCTTTAACACAAAGTTGGCTTCCCACAAATCTAGACTTAGTTTTTTGGTGGTAGTTGTATTTGTTGGACATTGTTTTGTGGTCAACTTCTTTGTTTTTTCCTCGGATTTGAAGTCTTGCTTGTTTTCAGGTACTTGACAACAAAGAAGAACTGAAGACGAAGCTGAAGGGGATACTTCGTGAAAAATCTGATGCTTTTAATTCTGAGCAGCCAGAGGAAGATAAGGTTAGAACATAGAGATCCATAGAAACTCTAATTCTAGAACATAAGATCTATAGAAGCTCTAATTCTATCTTACGTTGAATGCGCAAGCAATGACAGTTAATATATGCACCTCCTTTATTCGTGAAAATGCTTACTTGTAATCAAGTACCAATGTATGCAAGGCATAGACACTTCTGATGGATCGATGTGCCAGGTATTAGATAGATACAGATAGGATACATGAACATGACAGAGAAAAGTGCCACTTTTTTCTCCTTGGCACTGCCTCGGCACCTTTACATGAAAGGGAAGATGATAGAGATGAAAAGAGAAAGAGACTAGAGGAAGAGAGGGAGGGAGAATGAGCAGTGGTGAAAGAAGAGGTGTGGTTTTTTCTAGTCATGCTGTGTTAAGGTGTGTGTGTATTTAGGTTGAGCCTAGATAACATGTTCTTTTATATGCAATCAAGCATGGCACTTGTGTTTCTGGAAAAAAAGGCACATGATGTGTACTGTAAGCAAACTGTGATGTTGCTATATATCTAAGAATGGTACTCTCAATATCATGTGGAGGGTTTGTGCAAAAGTTATGGTTGCCTAGCGCAGACGTTGGTAAAGAAATGGAGAATTATAATTGGAGGGTGGATTACAGGAGGTTGCTTTTGGAAACATACAGAGGGATCGACTGTTGTTTCTTTTAGCTTGCCAGTTTGCAAGTACAGTATGTTAGTGATATTGCAAAGATCATTGACCAAGGTTGGAATGTATAAGTTGCATTCGAGTTAACTTACTCTTCCTCCATTCTTTGTTTTAAGATGTCTTGTTTGGTTTGACTTTGATGTGTTACATTTAAGGAATTATTGCTCCTGTGAGCACAGAGGTTCTATATATTATTTTTTATATCTTCTGTTTTTTTCTTGTTTCCTATTTACCTTCCTTTTTTTGGAGGAGTGGGGTTTGGTTTTGTGGGAACTCCTTGGTATAGTATACATGTTCTAACTTCTATGTTTTCTCACATGATATTCTTCCAAATTACAGTGTGACGATGCTATTTCTCAAAGTTAGAAAATGTCTTAACCTGTCGAATATTGAACTTCTAGGATTATTTTGTGGTATTCATGTTTGCTATGGTTCATGTCTCTCTAATCCATTTTTTTTCAGATAAAACTGGGAGTGCCTGGGTGGAAAGAAAGGTACTATGAAGATAAGTTCTCTGCAAATTCACCTGAAGAGCTTGAGGCAATACGGAGAGATGTTGTAAGATTTTAAATCTTTCTGGTGTTTTCATGAAGGACCATTCTGTAATGCTGGTCGAACTTTGAGATTCTGCTTACTGCAGATTGTTCTCTTTGTCCATGCAAGTAAAATATATGAACATAAAAGAAAGTAAAAGAAAGAGAGGGAAAGCAAAAGAAGAACGAAAGAGGGGGGAACTTGTAGCAATTATATCATTATTACAATAAGCAGCTAGTAGACTTTTTACCCCACTTCTCTGCTGTTCTTGGAGATTAATGATGTAATTTGAAATCATATGGATGCTTTATTTTTATCAGGCAGCTTCAAATTTCACAATTATTAGATCTTATAGTGAAATGCTAACAAGAATGAATCTAAAACTATATGCTTACGACTTTTTACAGGTCCTAAGATATACCGAAGGCTTGTGTTGGGTGATGCACTATTATTATGAAGGCGTATGTTCCTGGCAGTGGTAAAGTTCTTTTTTATAATATTCAGCCACGACTTTTTAGAAAATATTGATTGCTACTATCTGTTAGTATTTAAAGGAGTTTGGAATCTTATTGAAGCATTTTTCACTTTTTACTGAATGAAATTAAGAACAGTTTTGAACCTCAGGCTAGATGTTCTGTGTGGTACGTGTTGGGAACATGTCATTTTTTTAGATGACGTTCTTAAAAGGGTCATTTTTTGTGTGTATAACTTTATTTCTTTTTTGAAGTACGTGCTGGGAATATCTTGAAGCTGTTAAAGGAATTTTACATTGATCTGCATTGCTCAAATTTTTTGTTTCAGGTTTTATCCATACCATTATGCACCCTTTGCTTCTGATCTTAAGGATCTTGGAGAATTAAGTATCAACTTCGAACTAGGTTCACCATTCAAACCATTTAATCAGCTGATGGGTGTGTTCCCTGCTGCAAGGTTGAACGTGCTATATTTTTTCCCTCAATTTCTTTCCATATTGCAAATTTCTAACCGAGTTCATTTTTGCAGTTCCCATGCCCTTCCTGAGCATTACAGAAAATTGATGATGGATCCAGATTCACCTATTATTGATTTTTACCCAACCGGTAAAGTCTGTGCTTTGACAAAGTAAAGCGTTCATTGTATTGGTTAAAAAAAGATTTTGCACTCCTAATCTTTTTGTATATTGTGTTTCAGATTTTGAAGTTGACATGAATGGCAAGCGGTTTGCGTGGCAGGTGTGCTTTCTTTTTTTTACCTTTCCTTTTGCACATCTGGGCAGAATGTGTTGTGGTTGACTATTGTTGTATTTGAAGATGTTAACAAACTTAGCTTTCTTGTAATTATTCGTAGGGAATAGCAAAGTTGCCTTTCATTGATGAAGAGCGTCTTCTTGCAGAAGTAATGAAAGTAGAACATACTTTAACGGTACGAGGACTATTGTTTGCAGACTTGGTCACCTTCTATAATTCTATCCAGTGAAAATGATTTCTTCTAACTCTTTGTGCCTTTATTTATTTGTTGTTTCTACAGGAGGAAGAGGCTCGGAGAAATAGTACGATGTGTGACATGCTTTTTGTGGCATTATCGCACACACTATCTCCGTACATATTTTCTCTGAATGACCGTTGCAAACAATTATCGGCCAGGGAACGAGTTGAAGTCAGAGAACAAATTGACCCTTTGGCAAGGTCTGTATTGCAAATTTGCAATGTCTACTTGACATTTTTTCTTTGTTTTATCTTCGTATGCAATCTATTTATGTTGCTATTCCTGTCACACATAAACTCGAATGTGAGCTTGATTTTTTGGATTTTGCATGTAAAAAGTTGAATGAAAGAGAATGGATTGAATTTCATGAATGATTGTCAAGGTTTTACAATAGAATTGGAAATTGATGACAATTGCTCAAATATCTACTGTTTTTCGTGACAAGATCTCATTAAGCTCAGTTGCAATTGTAAACGAAATTCAAGATTTTTTCTTATCAGATATCCTTCTGTTCTATTATCAAATTAATATGAAAAGGTATTCACACCTAAATTATATATTAACTACCCATATCCAAATATCTTCAGCTGCCTGAACCAGTATATAAGCCTTTGCATGGTGTTTGAAACTTAAGAACAGGATGATCTTTTAATGATAGTCATGATAAATGCCTGATATAAGACAATTGTTGGTGCTGTTGGGAATTATTTCAGCCAGAGTTCCGCCTACATTTTTATCCCTCTTTTGGGGTTGATTTTGTTTGACCATCTGTGTGGCAATATTAATATCCTGCAAGTGGTGTCCATTAATTTCACTGTTTTACTTTTGTCAAAATAGTTACTGTGAATGAGTTACTTCATTTGCCAGTTTATTGATTTAGTAGTTGGACATATATCCTAAGTATATTGTTTTAATAGCTGGACGTATATTGTTTTACTAGATATTATATCTTATTCTAGATTTTCTAGTCTCTAAGCATGCTTACATTTGTTCATCTGAATCTCCACTATATTGCATTCTCTTTCATTCTGTAATTATGAATTGTGGGATATTTTCTGATTTAATTTGGGGATGTGTGCAGTGGTGGAATGAATGGCTATATATCTCTTTGCGCTGGAGATCCCTGCCCTCCAATATTCAGTTCACCTGTTGAAGGGATGGATGATATCATGGACAATCAAGTCATGTATGTAAACTTCAAAGGATGATGCCTTTTGCTTCCATTTATTTGGTATATTGTGTCTATAAATTAACTTATCTACCTTTGTCTGGCTTGCCTCTCAGATGTGCTATATATAGACTTCCTGAATATCATAACCATATATCTCGACCACCTCCAGGGGTCAAACCACCCAAAAAGGTAATTAGTACGGTACACCATTTATTTGGGAACATATTATTTTTGTACCATTTATATCCTTCGGGGACCTACCTTTGTGTGGGATTTACTAGGTTTGTTTGGTTTGGTGTATCTTTTCTAAAATTTTCATATGTACCTTTGGATGTCTCTTCTCTTTCCTGTATTGGTCTTAAATGCCACTCCCTTCTGTTGCAGACTGTAACGGTGGACGATTTGCAACCGGAGCCTACTTTATGGCATGAAGATACTGGAAGGAAGCCCTGGGAGAATGGAAGGTAGACGAAACCTTTTGCTATTTATTTGTTGCCTAATTAACTTACCAATTGGCATCTACAAATAAACAATTTTATGAGAATTTCCTAAACAACTTCCTGTTGACATAGGAATGGACACAACAGGCATCATAACCCCCCTGGATCTGCCTCTGGCCGACAGCTTGGAGATGCTGCACATCGGCTTGTCACCAATAGCTTACAATTAAAGAACGATAGGAATGGTCATCATCAAGCATATGACCCGCACCCACATCATGGGCCACCACCTCCTTTCCGACCTTACCAGAGTCATAGACCACCCTATAATCAGGACCAGAGTAGGATGGTGCAACCTAGATCCAGTTATCCTCCACATAACTATGATCCGAGTTACGGCCAACCTAATTATCCTTCAGGTACCCGTTATAGCGGCCGGCCTGATTTTATCGAGGGTAGTGGTGGTAGACACACACATGGGTACCACCAGAATCAACATGTATACCCTCCACCACCACGTGGCCACCATCAAAGCCCACAACCGCCTGCTAGCAGTAGTTACTATTCGCAGCAAGGTGGTGCTTACAACAACAGTGGGAACTACGGCGCCACCAATCATCATCAACCACCGACTGCGGGCTGGGCTCCTCGTGGTGGCGGAAGAGGCCAGGTACGCCCTCAACATGGTGGAGGCAACCAGTTTTCAGCGTTGAGTAGAGATGGAACAGGTAGAAGGCCGCAGCAGCCTCATCGCCGCTAGACCATCAGTGGCACCGGTCTACCATTTGTAACATTTGAACTTGTATTTCTTAGAGATCTTGTATAATATTTGTGTTTTTTTAGGTCTAGTAGTCTGTTTACTATATGAAAAACCAATTCCAGTTCCTAAAGATTTACACATATAGGTTAGGTTCACAAGATGATTGGATGGTGTTGTATACTTGCCTTTTATGTGCCTTATTAGCAGCTTCTGGAGCAATAAAACTCAGAAAATCTTTATTCCATGGCTTTTTATTTTGTACCCAATATTTGTGAGTGTGTTTGTAAGTTGGGGTAGGAAAATGAAGTATTCCCAAGAAATTTGCTTTTGCTTCTTGATATGCATTGTAATTTGGCCAAACTCTTTTTCATGCCATCTAGTTCTTGTTAAATCCTTTTTGCTCAACTTTTTTGGGGAAGAGAAAGTATGGGTCTGTTTGTTAACGACTTAATGAAACTTATAACTACTTGATCAACTACATATGGTTGTTTGGTAGTGTCTTAATGATATCGAAAGTGGTTTATTTGGTAAGTTTCTATTTGGAAGACTTTTTTTGAACGACAAGCAAGACTTTGTTAAATGAAACGTCCAAAACAGTGGGGATTACAATGGAAAAAAAAAAACAAAGACTTGCGAAATGGCTACTGTTATTTACACAGAGTATCTTTGATAAATTTTATAAAATAAAAAATGAGTTAATTTTGGATTTGGTTCCTTTGGTTTGTGAAAATGATTCTTAAACATCATTTATTGTAGATAAGGGCTCATCGTATGCTGTATTGTAACAAATCAAATTGGTCCCCCACGCAAATGGCCATCAACTTCATCTGTTAGAATTAAAGGCATTTCTATCATTTACTATTTTGCCTTTTTACATCAATTTATTTCCATTTTTACTTTTTATTTTATTTTTGTTTGTCTTTTTCTTATTTTTGTAAAATCCCCTAAGCTATAAGGACCAAATACGTAAATAGCTCTAATATATATATATATATATATATATGGGCCTAATCAAATGAGAACTAATTAGTTTGTGGTAACTGTGAGAACCAATATTAACCACAAATCAATAAA